TATTGGCTGAGTGTGATAGATACACAAAGAATCTGTGTGTCTATCACACTTTGAAGGCAGGCTGGTTGCAATATTTTTTTCTATAGCCCTAACTGTCCATTGAAGTCTGTACCTGTTCTGTTTAGTTGCTTTACTTTCACATTTGTTTGTAAGCAGCATTTAAGTGTGGCTTTTTAAAAAAAAATAGGAATAATATAACATAGCTAATATGGAATCTCAATATCCACGGGCACTCAAATTAAAGATTTTTTTAAAAACCCTTTTCATAATTCCTGCTAATATAAAAGAGAGCCCACACTGATTACCCTAACTGCCTTTTCCAGGAAAATGCTCAGATGATCATGTTCGGTCAGGCAGTAAGAAGGGCTTGATTGTTGTGTTGATTCATACAACACAAATCAGAACCGTAGTGCAAGCAATGCTCAAAGAGCTACTTTGTACAAGCAGAATACATGCTGTCTCCTCCTAAATATGCTATGGCTGCTTACTCATATTTTGCAATAGAAGTGGTAATTGTTTGCTATTGCATAAGCCAATGTAAGTAGGTCATGGATAAATCCAAAACACAATATGCATGTCATTCTGAGTACCAGGAATTTCCAAGTGAGAAAGCATCCAGATAGATTATTTTTGGACAGTAGGAAGCCCTACCTCCAGGCCTCTTATAGTACATGCCATCACAAAGCTGGTTCCCATAGCAACAGTCACCCATCAGCTTTTTATTGCATCAGTGCTCCTTGACCTAAATGCAGATTCATTTAGCTCTTAAGAAGCTTATTTTCATTTGTGAAATAGCTTTTGATATGTAGGCTATGCCTTTATGCATAATTCATTTGAAACCCTAACAAATATCTACCACATAGTTAATGAAAAACAAGTGATGATATATGAACAAGATAGAGTTGATATTATCCATTGTGTTAAGCCAGGTCTTCTTTTAATCTTGGCTTGCTTGGTTAGCTACAGAGGCCTAGAAGTGTCTTATATTTTAAGCTTATCATCAGGGGTGGGTTTCTACCAGTTCTGTCCACCTCTGTAGAACTGGTAGCTCCGAAGAGCAGCAGACATAGAACCGGTTCTATGTCTGCTGATGTTTTTGCCCACCCGCCCACCTGGGCTCTTACCTGATCTTTATTTCCTGCTTTTTCAACTTCAGCTGCCAAACAAGGCACAGCTGCAGTTAAAAAAGCAGGAAAAGAGGGCTGTTTCAAAGGCTGCTTCTCTGCATGCAGTGTGCTGATGACGATTTAGATGCAGGGAAGCACATCATAAATCACCAAACCTCGTAAATCCCGAACCGGTAGTTAACCCTGTCGTATCCCACCCCTGCTTATAATCAGTTGGTAATGAAAACACATCCTGAAAATATTATTCCATATAAAGTAATAGGTATATTTATTATTTTAAAATTGTTTTTGTTGAGCTGCTCTTCAGCTCTAAGTGTTTCAGTTGCTCTTCCATGGCTTCTAGAGTTTTGAGTCTGGTTTAATGAGAATAAACAATTATTTTCTTCCCAAGTGTCACTTCCTAGACATATTCTTTCTTGCCCAAATCTCTTCCTGTTATGCCTTTCCCTACCTAAATTTAAGATTACCAACTAATTTAGGTGAGTTGTTATCTTCAAAGAATTGTGGCCTTAGTTAAACCTGTAGAAATTCTTGCTAATCTCCTGTCTAGCCTTTGGCTGCAATAAGCACCTTTTATTTGATTTGACTTAATGTCATTAAACTTGACTTAACTTGCTAATCTCTTGAAAAAAAACACTCAAGAAAACTAGAAATTTTATCAAAGTAAATTCTTGATTGTCAACACAGATTGGCCACAATTTCCCTGGATTTGGGGCAAATGTTTGATCATCCCACCTTGGAGGTACCAGTAATTGAATTTGGAATTTTCCACATGCCCAAACAGGTATTCTATCTTGAATCATACTTCCTACCATTTACAGACCTGTACAAATCAATTTACCCTCTGCCAATTGCTGGCTAAATATTTCCATTATCAACTATAGCACTTAACTATGCTTGGAAACAAAACTAAAACCTAATCAAGCACTTGTGATGGTTAGCCAAAGTTCCTTCAGTCTTTTTCTCACTATTTCCCTGTAATTATTTCCTTTGAAGTTCCCTCCATCAATAGGTAAGTGTTCTGCGGTGATAAAAATGCAATGGCTTCCTAAGAAAACATCCTCACTTCTCTGAGGTTTCCCACATCTTTGTTTTTACTTCCATTATTAGCTCCCATGAGGACCTTGGAAAGGTTTCTGTGGTTAACCCTTTCCTATTTTTTTTACAAACACCAGGACTCCAACTTGGCTATGTCAAAAAAAAAAAAAACATGTGAATGTCTTGAAGGTTGCTGAATGCCCAGGTTTTCTCAGGAAGTGAGCACACCCACCTGATCCAGGTTTCCAAGTGCAAATTTAAAATCTGATTAAACTATAAAGGCAAATTGAATAAAGATAATTTCTCATCAGCAAGGAGAGAGATACTTGTTCCAGCAGGGTGTAGATGTCTAATGGATTGGATTCTAATGGATTAGATTACATTTTATTTCAGGTTGCTGAGGAAGGATTGCTAACCTTGAGTTCTAAGGAATAGAGAGCTCTTGACTGAGAGGCCAGCATGGTACCTTATGATATCGAACCTATCCGATCAAAAAATTCACTGGACAAGCTGGAAATTAACTATGATGGCTTAAGTGGTTGAAACATTGGGCAGGAGGTTAGCAAGCCCACATTCGAGATCTGAGAGCTGCCATGGGGTGTGGTTGAGCTCTGGTCCTTCACTGCAGCTCCTACCAAGGACATGAAAGGGTGATGTCACCAGCTAATTCTTTCAACCTGGAAGCGCCTTGCAGGAGTGCATTAAAAAAAAAATCTAGCCTATTTCCTTAAGGCAACAAAGGAGCATTAAAATAATACAGTTCAAATGAATATTTACTCCATGTGATAGAATTCTGCAGTGGTTGAGTAAATTGGGCTACCATCTCATTGTGCAAGTGAATGGATCCACGTCTTGATGCTTCCATGTCAACCCTAGAGCTGGCCTGACCAAAGCTATTTTGTCCGCTTCCATGTTGCCACTGAACGTCCATGGTTCCCAAGAGATGGTAGTTTGTTTTGGCTACAAAAATCCCTCTATCTCAAATCCCCCCTCCTGACCCTCAGCTCCAGTGTGGCAACACTGAAGCGGACAAAATGGCTTCAGTCAGGCCAGCCTCAGGGTTGACACCCATGCTATCGAAGGAAAGCAAAATACACACCTACAAAATATTTATTTTTTAAAAAAACCAGATGGGGAAAATTGTTCCAGGCCATTATAGCCATTCTATGTGTTATTTTTTCCTTAAGAAGCATTATTAAGGATTTCCCAACAATGTGTCACTTCCTTAAGTTTCTTCTATCTGAAGAACATTCCTGGTGACTAATGGAACAGGGCCATTGTTATTGTTACCTCCAAGGAGATTTTCTTACCCCAACTTTGGTCAAAGACATTTAATCCTCTCACCTTCCCCTAGCATTGTTTAAAACTGGCCTCCTTGAACTCAGGTGGTGAGCTCAGCTTTTCTGTTGCCCAGAAAGCCTTTAGATAACGAAGTGGCATTCCATAGCAACTCTCTAGAAGGGGGCCTGCATAGGGAGACTCCATTGATCTCCAGTCCAGCTTGCAGTTCTAAATAAATACAGTGTTGTGTTCCAACACTGGAAGGCAAAGAAGAGGTGTGTGGGAGCACGCTGGAATCTGCCTAGCTTGTTGGAAATGCAAACACACCCAGATCTTTCATTCTGCTTTTTACTTCAGCCCTGACTGGCACCAAGTTCCAGGACAAGCTAATACTGGGCTGTTAAAAGTTTTTAAGACCTGAATTAATAAAGTATCATCCAAAAAACAGGCAATTTGCGTATCATCGACTGCACCAATTATTTGTTAGCAATGCTGCAAGGAACACAGGTCATCCTCAACTTACAACAGTTTATTAAGGGACTGTTAACAAGGGCACTGAAAAAGTGGCTTACGGACATTTTTCACACAACTGCTGCAGCATCCCCCTGGTCAAAAGTTGGATGCTTGGTTACTGACTCATATTTATGATGGTTGCAGAGTCATGTGATAGCCCTTTGTGACCTCCTAACAAGCAAAGTCAATGGGGAAGCCAGATTCACTTCACAACTGTATTATTATCTTAACAATTGTGGTGATTCACATAACAACCGGGGCAAAAAAGATCTTAAAATGGGGCAAAATTCACTCAATTGTCCCACTTAGCAAGAGAGATTTGGGGCTCCATTGTGGCTGCAAGTCGAAGACTGCTTGTAAGACATCATTAGCAAGATTCACATAACACTCCAAGCCATAAATCACAGCTGACAGACAAGAAAGGGTGGCTTAGCACACCATTCCAGCAAGTACAGCCTAACTTACTGTGCTTTGGGAGTCCAGCCAAGAGTAACTTGTGCACACATCCCATATGTAAGGGTACGTGAGAATGACCTTGGGAGCAGGAAGAGAATCACAGCCTAGTCATTGACCTGATAAACAACATTTTGAGTCTAAAGGTAGAAGGAGGGTGGAGCAAGCAGGACCCTGCCTGGTTTAGAGAAAAGGGAGGAACAGGAGGGATACTAATAAAGGAAAATATTTGTAGCTCGGGGTTGAAATGTGGGGTCCATGGGGCTCTCTGAGCTTGGTTATTTTCTTGCAATGGATGGAAACTAATAAGGAGAGAACCAACCTAGAACTAAGGAAACATTTCCCATCAGTTAGAGCAATTAATCAGTGGAATGGGTGCTCCAACACTGGAGGTTCTTAAGAAGAGATTGGACAACCGTTTGTCTGAAATGGTAGAGGGTTTCCTGCTTCAGCAGTGGGTTGGACTACTAGAAGACCTCCAAGGTCACTTCCTACTCTGCTTCTCTGTTATTCTATTACCCAAACTCATCAGGAGGGCTACTTTCAGATTTGCAAGATTCTGTGAATGCCACTTTTCAATCAAGACAGAGTTAACATTTATTGTTCTGCTTCTTGGCTGGACTACCTCGAGTGGGATGACATTGCATAAGTGATATACACCAAGGGAACCACCCGACTCCAGCCGATTCTCTGCCACCTTGGCGGAAGCATAAACGGATAGCCGGGGTTTATTTAGAATGACCGCTGGCGTCACAAGCTAGCCAAGTACTCTGTAGGTGTTGTCCCCACCTCTCCTCCCGGCTCAAAGCTGAAAGGACTATCCTCCCAGGAGCTGCGGCGGAGCGCTCCTCCTCCTCCTCCTCTTCCATCACCACCACACCACAACCACCATTTCCTCCTCGCTGGAGAAAAGCGCCGCCTGAATCTCGCCCAACAGCGACACTCGCCTTTGCCAAAGCCCGGCCGGGCGCGCGCTCGTTGGCTCGATCGGACTCGCATTGCACCTCGCAGTTCCAGGATCTCGGGAGGAACGGACGCAGGTGAGAGCAGGGATTTGGGGTTAAGCAAAGAGGGGGAGGCTGGGGGGGGGGAGAGAGACCACAATGCCGACGCTGCTCGTGGGGGGCTCAACCTTGACGCGGAGGACCGTCGTTGGGTTCGAGCCACCCAACGGCGGATCGAACCCAACCCAACGAACCCAAGGATCCGCCAAACGTTATCTAGGTCGGCGAGACTCGGAGGAGAGCGCGGGTCAGAGGACGGCTCAGCTCCATTTGGGGAAGGAAGGAAGGAGGTCGGGGGCAAGTCTGAGAAACCGTCTTCCACGACCCCCTCTGCCCGGCAAAGCGGCGGCTCCAGGCCCTTGCGGTGGCTCTGTTGGACCCAAGCCGAGCGACAGAATCCCAGAAAGCCGGGGAGGCGAGGAGGAGGGAGCTGGGTACGGTTGACAGACTGGGGTGACTTCGCCCCTGCGTGGAAAAGCCAATTCCCGTCAGCTTCCTCGGCCCCCGGCTCTAATCCTGGCTACGTTAGCGGCGGAATTCAAGAAAATTCTGCCGGAATCTCAGTTTCCCTCCCCTGTTCCTCCTATTCAGTAAAATCCTGCTAGGGTTTAATTGTTCCCCTTTCAAAACATTGGCAGCTAACCTGGCTGTGTCTTGCATAGGGGAGTTTCTTACTTTAAATCTTCCTCGTGTTCTGTCCGGATTGATCAGTTGCACTGAATTCAAAGGGAGAGACATTTCATTTCTTCTTCCATTTTTATGCCACATGTAGTTTTATACCTCTTTTCTTCTTCAGCACCTCTAAGCTGCATTTGTAACCTTTCACTCTCCCACCCCGGCCCTTCATAATTTAAGATGCTATTTTCTGTATCTTCTGGAGCTCCAGGGTAATTTAAAAAAAAGAGAGATGTTAGATAGAATTCCAAATTTATTGCAGTATTCTGCCTCTTGGGCCTTCAGGCTCATTTGATTGATGTTTCATGATCCTAGGAAGCTGCCCTTCCTCAAATCTTACAATTTATCCCTCTAGTAGTAATTTAAAAAATAAATGTAGCTTAGGAATGAAATGTGGAGCCTTTAGTGCTCTCTGGGCTTTGTTGTTTGCTAGCAGATGTTTTGTTATCCCTCTAGCCCAGAAATGGGCACCCTTTCCATACACAGGTAGAACCTGACTTACAGTCATTCATTTAGTGACCATTCAAAGCTACTACTACACTGAAAAAAGTGTGACCGGTTTTCACACATAGCTATCATTGCAACATCCTCATGGCCACATGATCAAAATTTGGATGCTTGGGAACTGGCGGGTGTTTAAGACAGTTGCACTCTCCTGGGTCATGTGATTGTCAGCTGACTTCTGACAAGTAAAGTCAATGGGGGAAACCAGATTCACTTAATGATCACATGATTCACTTAATAGCTGCAGTGGTTTGCTTAACAACTGGGGGGAGGAAATAAAATGGAGCAAAACTGTCTTGCAACTGTCTTGCTTAGCAACAAAAATTTAGGGTTCAGTTGTGGTTGTAAGTTGTGGATTACCCGTATTGTTATTATTTGGATTCTTTCTTTTACAAATTTATTATTGTACTTTGCCTCCACCTTGTGATCCAAGTTCACTGAGTGGATTACATGAATACTCCCAAAACAAATAGCAAAACAATAATAGTTAATCAATGAGTGATGTCAAACCAACATCTGCTATCCCGGCATAGAACAGGCACATGAAAACAAGCTGATTGCAGATGTTAAAGCCAAAGGAAGAGTTTTAACTTGGACCCAATTAAGGTAGCAGTATTTCATATTCACAATTGCCAATTCTTAAGTGGGTCCTTCCAGCCAAAAAGGCCATCTCGCTTGTAGCCATCAGCCTCACTGGACTTGGCAGAAATATCCAGATCAAAGCCAGTAAAGAACTTGGAGGTGGCCTTATTTGAGAGAAGAGAAAAGGGCACCAAAAGCGATAAGGGTTCTGCAGGCCAACCATATGATGAACAGATCAAGGGAACTAGATACGTTTAGCCTAACAAAGAGCAGACTTACAGTATGAGAGACCTGACAGCAGTCTTCCAATACTTGAAGGACTGTCACAGGAAAGAGGGTGTCAATTTATTCTCCATGGCCCCTGAGAGCAGGACAAGAAGCCATGGATGGAGACGCATCAGAAGGAAATGCAACCTGGAAATGAGGAGGAATTTCCTGACAATGAGAATGATTAGCCACTGAAACAGCTTATCTCCTAGAAGTTGTAGATGTTGAAGAAAAGATTGAGCAACTATTTGTCTAGGATAGAAAAAGGTCTCTTACCTTTAGCAGGGGATTGGAAGGGACCTCCAAAGTCCCTTCAAGCCCTGTGATTCTATGAAAGTCTGGGCCTCCAAATCCTTAAATCTCAGTCCCAAGACTTTAACTGGGGCCCATCAAGAGCAAAGCGGGTTGTAATATAACTAGACTCCCATTTTCATGCACAGGAAAATCAAGGTGAAAAGCTGCTCTTCCAATAGTTTTTTTTTTTCTTGCTGTGCTTTTTCACAAACCAGTTAAGTCTTGATGAGGATGGCTGGGAAAGGAAGTTAAGAATATTCCGCAATAGAGAAAAAGTATTTATATTCATTATTTTTAATCAAGGGTGGTAGGGAAAAAGTAGACAAATTCCTTCTAGTTTTCTGTGCTGTAGAGAAAAGATCCAAGATCCTTCCAGGTCCTGCCATCATCTACTTCTTTTTTAAACTAGAATCAAAACTAGACTCCTGACTCCAGCACAACCATGTATTGGTGACAGCAATTTCTTTCCTTGGCTTACTCTTGTTCCACTCCATTGTTAAATGGGCTTCATTTCTTGGCTGCATTAGTACAGGTAGTTCTTGACTTAAAATTATTTGTTTAGTGACCATTCAAAGTTACAATGGCACAACCATGGCAGCATCCCCCAATCATGTGGTTAAGCTTGGCAACTGATGGTTATGATGTCCCAGGGTCGTGTGATCAATTTGTGTGACCCTCTGACAAGCAAAGTCAATGGGGAAGCCAGATCCCCTTATTAATCCAGTTACTAACTTAACAGCTGCAGTAATTCACTTAACAACAGTGGCAAGAAAGGTTATAAAATAAGGCAAAACTCACTTAACAATTGTCTTGCTTAGCAATGGAAAGTTGGAGCTCAATTGTGGTTGTTAGAACTATGTTAGGGGAGATTTTGCCCCTTGTTCTGATGTTCTCCAAGGCAGCCTCAAAGTGAATGCAACCTGTGACATTTTCTCTTCTAAGGGTCATGGTGGATGTGACCAGAAATGTCCTTAGGCCACTTTGTCCGCCTTCCCTAACATTGTCTCTCCTCCGCGTTATGTTTCTTTTCATTTTATTTTCTTCCTGTTCAATCTTGTCCAATTTCACCTGGAAAGTCCCACAGTTTTCTTGGCAAGATTTTTCAGAAATGGGTTGCCCTTTTCTCCTTTCTAGGACTGAAAGAGAAGGACTAACTAGCCAAGGTCACCCAGCTGGTTTTGTGCCTAAGGCAGGACTAGAACTCATGGTCTCTCAGCTTCTACGCTGATGTCTTAGCCACTACACCAAGCTGATTCTTTCATATCTTTCCCTTCCATCATTTCTGCTCTTGATACCCACTTCTCTGTAAACTTCCAGTAGGCAAGAAGAAGACAACCTTTACCTGGGGAAAAAGAAGGAAAGCAGGCTTTTATCTTACTGCAGCTTCCACAAAAATAAGGAGGACAGTGCTTTCCCTCTTCTTTCCAATTCCAATCCACCATCCTTGAAGTAAAAGTCCCTTTGCCAAACAACTAGCCAGTTTCATATGTCAAGATGCTCAGCTTGTTGTCTGGAAGTTGAGTCATGGCAATTGGACTTCTTTTTTTTCCTGTTGGTTAGAAACATGTCTCTGTTTATCCAAGGATCCTGGAGGATATATACTCCTCCAGGGTAAGAGGAGGGGCAATCAACTTGCTCAGACTGAAGAAGCTACTTGCATAAGAAGCAAAACATCTCTAAACAATGGGAAAAGAAAAGAAAAGCTGCCCTGTTCCCATGACTCAATTTCTATGCTCAGTTTGCTGGTTCCCCATGTTGAAATCCACAGGACCTGGCTACTTTTAGTCATGACAGGGTCTGCCTACCTCCTCCCAGGGGTGATTTCTTCCCTCCTGTTTCTCCTACTTTAACTTGGGAAATGCCAAGTAGGGTAGACAAATGAGGCAGAAAGAGGCTGGGAATGAGACTCACCCATTTCTGCTGCTCTTCCAGGCTGGTGACAATTGACAAGGACAGTTGGAGAGCCCAAGGGGAAAGCCAATGCAATAGAAGTACACCATTCCATAGTGACTCAAAACAGACACAACAGAGACAGAACAGAGACTGGCAATGGGGAACACAAAAGTGTTGTACCTTCTTAAGGATAAGTGGATTTACCTAAATAATGAGGGAAGCATGAGGGGAAAGTGCTTTCTAGCTGACCTAATTTCTTTGTTCGATCTTGCCACCTTGGATTAGATTGCAAGGTTTCCAAAGTAGGGATTCATTTATGAGATAATATAACTCGCTGGCAGCATAAATCCCTTGCTGATTAGACAGTCTCTGTGGAATCATGTAATTCAGGGCTGGGGGATGGGGAGCATTGAATTCATTTCTACAAGCAATAAGCATGGGGCATCACAAGGTTGGGTATGGTGTAAAAAGCATTTTAACACAATAATTCCTAAAATGCCAGAGTGCCTTATTTTAGTGTCATCTGCTTAAACAGAAAATCAGATCATTCCAGATCAGCAGGAAATAAAAAAGGCTGACATAAAGCATTCAGTTTTACAATCATGCTGTCTCTTGTTGTGTACACAAAGCACCACAATGATCTATTTAGTGAGCAGCTGGGTTCATTGCAGGTGTAGCAAGGAATAAATAAAACCCTTGCATGATGAAAAGCAAGCTCTGCTCTCCAGCAAAAACTACAGGGTTAAAAGGACATACAGCTCCAATTGAGTTGTTTTCTTTCTATCATTCTACAGATGCATAAAAATTCTTGTTAGCAAATTTAGTTCTGTCCTCCTTTTCTTAGAAGCATGTATGCAGCATTCCTGCGAAATCTCCCCAATCCTTGGTAAAGTCAAATTATTGTTCTGCTATCACAAATTGTGTATATGCATTGATCATAAAGCTTCAGCGGGCCCTGCAGATTTTACCAGATGGGCTATCAGTCAGGACACCTCCATTTAAATGGTGTCTGTAACAGCTCTTGATTCTGTTGGATCAGGAAAAGCATGGGGAATTGTGCAGTGGTTGTTTTGCCTGAAAATGGTAAGGCTTAATGGCATTGTTATAAAAGAGATAACTGGGGAACTTCCAGAGCCTCATTCTTGCTCTGTGAGAAAGGTTGGTTTCCTTGGAGATCAGATACCTCAAGGACAAAGGAATCGCTTGAGCATCCTTTTCTCATGTACTCCCTAACAAAGCAGAAACAACACATATCAAAGCATCTCTTTGTTTTGTTTTCATGGTCAAGGTTTAGAAGCTGAACAAAAACCTGTCTTTTCAACTTCATGAGCCCATGTCATGGTGTTATTTTTTTCCTATGGTTTCCAAGCATGCTGTATATGATATATACCATATGTGTGTGTGTGTATGTATATGTATGTTTATATGTGTGTATATATGTTTGTGTTTGTGTGTGTATGTATGTATGTATATATGTATAGTATGGTGTGTGTATATTTATTTATTTATTTATTTATTTATTTTTAGGAAATTTATATTGCCGTCTATTCGCACATGGCAATTTAAGGCAGCTTACAGGAATAATTTATATATGTGTGTGTATAAATATTTAATATATAAATAATATATATACACACAGATTTATAAATATAAATGCACGCACACACACACACACATATATACTACTGTATATATTCATTCACCATCAACGAAACAATTGCTTGGATCCTCCCCAGAAGTTTTTAGTAAGTTGTTTTCCACCATGGCTTTCATTATATATGTTCTTGGTCATAATGGTGAAGAAATTATTCTCCACATTGGTTGTGTTTGAAAGTGGGAGGAAGATCAATGGCTTTTTCAGAAAGGTCTTTTGTTTCAGGCACAGTGGCAGAAACAAAAGCTGGGAGGAAATGATGGCTTTGTTGTTCTCACACTGGCCTCCAACTGCTATTGGCTGCTGGGGCAGGTCAGCTCTTACAAAGCTACAGCTGAATGAAAAGGAAAGCATGTTCGTGTTTTATATGAAGAAGATGCTACTTTGGGGTTCTCTTCTTTTGGGTAATCATGTGTTTGGCATTTTCGAGATATTCAGAGGTTCTTTTGCAATGTTTGCAAAAGAGAAGTTTGTGAAACATCTTCCTGTTGCAATGTTGATTATCAATGCCTCTGAAACCATGAGGTTCTTCATTTCTAGCTATAGAAGTTCTTCATTTCTAGCTATAGAATTTCAGGTTCTCTTTTTGTTATTCAGTGCAATTGGACAGACACCACTCACAGTCTAAAAGAGGAGTCTCCAACCTTGGCAACTTTAAGGCTTGTGGACTTCAACTCCCAGAGTTCCTCAGCCAGCTTTGCTGAAAGTTGAAGTCCAAAAGTCTTAAAATTGCCAAGGTTGGAGACCCCTGGTCTAAAACATACTGAAATGTAAAGTGAGATTAATGTGTGCTGAGCCATAATGCAATTTTTTGGTTTTCTCCTATATGAACAGGGGTGGGGATCTACAGGTTCGCACCTTCACTAGAACTGGGTGTTAACATTCTAAGCAGTTCGGAGAACCGGTTGTTAGAAGAAATTAATGGCCTAATCCTGTAAGGAAGGCAAGAAGGAAACATTCTGGTGTTGCTTACAGAAACTGCCTCTCCGTTAACCCTTATTACATTCTTGGCAGGACTAGACTTCCTGTCTCTGGAATTTCTCTTGAGTTTTTTTCCCCCTCCTTTGCTGGTACTTTGCTTGTGTAGAGTGACCATTCAAAGTTACAATGGCACTGAAAAAAGTGACTCATAACCCTTTTTCACACTTACAACTATTGTAGCATCCCCACAGTCATGAGAGGTCAGGCGAGGAGATGCGTGCCTCGATGTGAGTGATGTTGAGTTGGCCACATCCAGCCAGTCACATTACCACCAAGCCATGCCCACCACCTAAGCCACACCCACAGAATCGGTTGTTAAAAAAATTGAATCCCACCCCTGTATATGAATTGTGTGTTAGTCAACGTGCAGCAGCTAATAAGATAAAAATGCATATAGGACTCTCACACTGACCTCCATTGATCTGAAGATCTGTACAGTCAATGTTTGAATAATCACTGGAGTCCATAAGATTTGTTTGTGATGTGCAAGCTGTACGGGTAAAAGGAGTCTCTGTTAACTTTGTTCCCCATCCTTAAAACATAGACCTTTCTACCGCAAGACAATTCAACTTCTGGTGTGAGCTCAAATGTAAGGTATGGGAAGATCTCCTTAATTTCAGGGGCCTTAAGCTCCAAACTGCTCTTCACTTAACAATTCTTTTTCTATTTGATTTGTAGAGTAAGCAACAATGAGGAAATCCCTTGCAACCAGTTGGATTTTACTTCTCCTTCTCCTGCTCCAGATGAATTCCTCTCTTTCCAAGAAGAAGCCTAAACCTGGTGGTGGCCAACGCCCACCTGGTTACCCCCAGCAACATCCTCCAAACAGACCTAATTACCCACAAGGTGGTTACCCTCAACCTTATCCTGGATATGGAGGAGGCTATGGAGGTGGATATGGAGGCGGCTATGGGGGCAGCCAGTATGGCAAGCCCTGGAAGCCCAAACCAGCCAAGCCCAAAATGAAGCATGTGGCAGGAGCAGCTGTGGCTGGAGTGGCAGCAGGCGCACTGGGGGGTTACCTCTTGGGCAGCGCCATGTCAAACATGCAGTTTATGTTTAACAATCCTTATGAGCAGCAATGGTGGCATCAAAACCGCGACCGCTACTCCGACCAAGTTTACTACCCAAAGTATGACCAACCAGTTTCAAGGGACGTCTTCGTGAGAGACTGCACGAATGTCACCGTGACCGAGTACATTGAGCCCAGTGGGAACAGGACAGCAGATGACATGGAGAGAAAGATGGTGACACAAGTGGTGCACCAGATGTGCACTGAGCAGTACAGGTTGATGTCAGGTGTCACTTCGCTGCTTGCCAACCCTTCTGTGCTTGTAATGGTTACACTGATCTTGTGTTTCCTGATACACTGAATTGTTTTCCTGAAGGTTCTCTCTTGTTGAGCTAGCAATGTGGAGCAGGGACCTCTATAAAGCATTTATCTAGTGAGAGAATACATTCTTGTATGTGCAATTTTTAATGGGTATGTTTAAGAGTTGTTCTATCTCTTAAGTATTCTTGAACATACTGGCTTCTTCAGAGTACACATGGTCCCTTCATAACCACCTGTGATTACTGTCTTTAGCTGCAAAAAAGTTTTGGGTGGGAAAAGAGGGACATAAGAACATTTTATAACAAACCCTAGCCTGCTAGAAATCTCACTCCATTCTCATATATTGACCAAGTCTGCGCTTACACACAATATACATAAGAATTACCAAGTAATTTTTGGCCAGCTACCATTGCATTGCACCTTGCTAGAAAACCTTTTTTTAATTTTTATATCTAATGCAGCAATCATTTTGTATTATCACATAGTCTGGCTTTCCAAAGGACCAAGAATATCTTCACAAGGAAGGGTTTGCGTTTTTTTAAAGGGCTTTGGCAACCAGAGCTGATCTGCATGATAGCCTTGGAGCTCTTGAGTGGCACATCCACCATGACTGATTCACAGATAGACATTTTGAAGGCTATTCCACATGTAAGAAAAACTTATTGCCTATGAAGCACAATTGCTGCAGTACACAGCCTGTGATTAATCTTGCTGAAGGCAAGTAGCCTTGAAACAAAGATACCATGGTGGAAATACTTTATTGAGAGCAGAAAATTTTTAAAAATGTCAGTTTTTGGAAGGTGAAGGAGCAGGTTGAAATATTATTTCTGTTAAGAAATGAGTTCTAGAAATCTAAAGTTATTGAAAAATAGTAATTGCCGTAGTGGCACTTCAGACTTCAAGGGTATGATGAAAAATTACTTACAAGTAGACTAAGAATATGAAATATATATTCCAAAGAGAACTTCAATTTCTCTCCTTTTAAATGATAATTGTTCTGATTGGGATAAGCTTATCAGAAAGCTAATATGAATGATTCAATTAACATTGAGTTACGTAGAATCCAATAGATCCTTGGACCACAAAATCACTAGGAATTTGAAGATTTTAACTCTGGAGAACTTTGGAATTAACTTCCACTTCCAGTACCAAAGTCACTTTCATTGGCTTATTTAGAAAGTCAAAGAAATATAAACTGAAATTTAGAATTGTCTCTGGAACAACTGGAGAACCTGACAGTGCTACTAATTCACAGAACATTTTTGTATGTGGGAAAATTACTCATGCCATCCATGCTGATGTCTCAGTTGGCCCCAATACTGCTAGTTGGAATATAAAACACAGAATCATAGGGCTGGAAGGGATTTATAGTCCAACCCCTTGCTCAAGGCAGGAGGCCTTATATCATCCCAGTCAAATGGTTGTCCAGTCTATTAAGTAAGGAGAGAGTGACCCCCTTTATCTTCAGCTACAGGCCCGAATAAGAAAATTAATGGAAGATCTTCTAATGAACTTTGATGTTTTGATGTTAAGCTTGTGAACTGATTTTGCGGAACTAGGTTTGGCATTTTGCATACTGAGGCACTATGTTAGAATTATTCTTTAAACAAGATTGCTACAAACCCTTTGCTCTTTCCACACCCTGCTTTTGCTTCCTTGTTTTATTTATTTCCTTGAAGTTTGGGATGCAAAAGCTGACATGGCCTCCACAAGTGTCACATTTTTGACCAAATGTTTGTTAGCAGAGTTTGTGCTTGTTATTTCTCCATTGTATACAGTGAAGCTTAGAAATATTACTGCTAGAAACACAACAGCCACTGGAATTCAGCTAGCTTGAAAATGCCATAGTCATTTAATTTTAAGACCTAATTGAAAATTGTACTTTGGGCTGTAATAATTTTGTCTGTCCTAATGCTTTCAACTTATGGTAATTATAAACAGTACTTTAAAAAAACTATGGTGTATTTCAGTTGATTTGCTGATTGACACTGTGTTTGTACCAGATATAAAATTGTTAGTGTAGTAAAAAAATATAATAGGATATGCTCTTTACCTACTGAGTATATCTGGTATATTTGAATATTTTGCCAGGTGATTACTGTAAAGGCCAACTTTAAATAGTGTTGTTTTCATATAAGAACACAAAAAAACTACATTGGGGGAAATGTTGGATTTTGAAGTGACATATCAGTTGTCATCGGGATATTTTGTAACTCTGTAACTATGCATGGGCTTCATTTTGGTTTGCAAATGTTTTTTTAATTAAATGTTTGATATAAAGTTAAAAATAAAATATAAGAAATAAACATTTGGACTATGTTAAATTATTCCTAGTAATACAAGTATATTGTTCATATAAATTTACAAAAATAACTTTGTTATTAAATGGAATGAATCATCTGGGCAGCTGGACTTTGGTTTTAGGAAAAGAAAGCAAATAGATTTTTAAACTGCATTTTGGGGATAGATAATTATTTGGACAGGATTTACAATAATTATTGTAACATTTGATCAATATTTATACACTACTTTTGCTTCTGAGAAAAACTGATTGTGGCTGTTTCATCTTCTTTTCAAATAATTTGAAAAAGTCTTGGATAATGTGTTTTTTTACTGTGCATGCACTTAATCTGAACAACACATTAAGCCAGAACAGTCTTTAAAATGGATAAACATGATTCATGGCTTAGTTTTACTTACTCACTTATTCACTGATTTATGTATTAATTAAATGTATACATTGCCCACCTCGATATCAAGCCCTATGGTGAAGTGTATGGGGAAAATGAATGTAATACAATCTCTCTGTCTCTGTCTCTCTCTCTCTCTCTCTCTCTCTCACACACACACACACACACACCATAGAAGACCAGGTATTCTTATAATTTTAAGATACTATGAAGCTTGCAGGTGGGATGCTAGTCATGGTAATCCAAAATTAAATCAGTGCACATTATTTTAGCTTGGTGTAAAAAGGCAATACAGTCTAAGAAACTTCCTTAAACATATTTACATAGTCAGAGAATATAACAGTTTGAAATGATTTTTTTTAATCAGTTAATGCAACTTCTTCCTTACTACAGCAGTGGATTTGCAAACAAGGACCAAATACAAAGCCAACAGACCTATTTTGGTATTATATAGGCCATAGTTTTATTTGGCAGTTTAGTTGAAAGGGTGAGAAAAGTAAATGGAGATTAGCATGTGAAACAGCAGTTAACAATTAATCTTCAAATAAATTTTGTGTTGGAACAGTAATTGTCATACAAGGAAATAAATCTGAGCACTATATATCATATGGAGCATGTTAGATAGTAACAAATAACCAAAATAGCTTAAAAGTCTACCTTCATGTTTGCAACACTCATGCTCAGATAGACTTTCCAGCTGTACTTATATAGCTCTTTCCACCACACAAAGAAGGAAAATTAAACAAAAACACAAACACTGTATTACGTATATCCCAATTAGGATTTCTTTGGGATTTCTTAGTTCTTAATAAAATAGATGCTAAAGCTAGCTTAAAATTATCTTTCTGACCTTTTACAGCTGAATTAAGTCAAGATCCAAACGCAGAGATAACAGAAGGATTTTGCTTCCTCATTAGCCTTACTAGCTTAACCACACCTACTGGTAGGAAAAGTCAAGCAAGGATGTTCAAGGAGTGCTGATCAATACATTGCTATGAAGGATTGATAAAAAAATTATTTAACTTCGCATCTCATTTAAAGAAGACAGTTTTTCATGATGGGAACCCATCTTCAGAATTTAAGCCAAGCTTTTCTTTTCTCAAAGAGACTCCTTTTTAGAATCCTTCTAAAAAGGAAAATGGAATAAATCCAACTGCATTCTTTGTTTCAAGAAAAGAAGCACATTAATCCCGATGTCAACTGCCTATTCTAGTGCTTAGGAACCCAAATGTATTTACTTACATATTGATGCATTAGTTGGATTGATACCCCATTGTAATTAACTGGCTCTCAATTTTGGAATCATTTCAATCCAAGCCAAGTCTCTTTCCACTTCTGACTTGTGACAACCATCACAGCATGGTAGAAAAGAATACTAAAGAGCTTAGTCCTAAAGGTGCTTTTTTTCCAAAAGGCAACTGGACCTTCTTGGTTTTTTTTTTCTTTGAAAACATTTTGCTTTTCATCTAAGGAACTTCTCGGATGAGAACTAAAATGTTTTCAAAGGGGAAAAAAGACTAAACAGTCAAGGTGCCTTTTGGGGAAAAAAAAGCACCTTGGGATAGCCATAGGACAACTATGACCTGGATGATTGAGGATCTCCATAGACAATTAGAGTTTAAACTCACTTAGGTATTCAATAACATTTAAGAGGTCAAGGAAAACAAAAAATGGAAAACAACATAGAACCATGTGGCTTTCAAACAGTATTCTTAGTTTACAAATTATTAATGACTGGACAAAACTTCCCAGTCATATTTAATGATAGAGATGACAATTTAGACAAAGAAGGCACAAAAGCAGTTTACCAAACAGGAGTCTCTGCAACCCCAGAACCACAAGTGATTTCAAATCTTCTTTCTGCAACCGTTAACCCGCCCCCTCTCTATCCCTTCCATAATTGCTGAAAAGTGATAATTCAGCTTTCCACCATTCAGAGATAGGAAACTATAGGAAACGATCTAACGTCAGTACATCATAGTTTCAAAAAAATGTTCAGCTCAACATTTGCAGCCCATCCAGATTCATGGTTTTTCAGCATCAAGTTTGCAGGTGTCAGATCCAACACTGTAAAACATGTTTGCCATCAAATGTTGCCTGCCTTTCTTTTGAGGCATGTGATAGTTTTCATCACTCAGCAAAAATGGTTGACTAATCAGGTACATGTTGGAATGATCAGCTCCCATTAGAGGAGAGCTATTTTGGAAATAGTCAAACAAAAGATATCCAAACCTATTCAGGTGTTTGATTCCAATTGTTCAGAAAGTCAGTTTGGTTCCAAGATTGGACTTGAGGTGTATTTGAATGGAACCTTCAATTCAAACCTTGATGTATTCGTTTTAAATAATCTCAGAAGTCTCCTTCCTTCCTTCCTTCCTTCCTTCCTTCCTTCCTTCCTTCCTTCC